TGATATCGCAGTAGTCGCAGAGATTTCGATAGTCGAACGAAGACTAGGCGTGCCTGGTTGATTCAGTGCCCACAAGGTCTTTTACAGGTTCAGCATATTTATGCCTTGCAGGTAGCGTGTTTTTACAATATGTATATCCCCAGCGAACGCCCACAATAGCACAGTCGGAGTCATCCCCGCCGTCGGTACCGAAAAAAAAGCATCGTGTGGGAGCCTAGCATTAAGTTGGCCCAACTTACTCGGAGATGTTGTAAGCTTGGTTTCAGGTGTGGCCACGACTTGTGAACTTGTGAAATGGTAGATACCTACCAGTTTCTTTTCCTAGTTTTTTTTTTGACTTTTAACATAGATAGGAAGATCACGGAGATACGCTTGAAAACAACCCAGAGTCGGCCAAAAACGGTATATAGGCCTGGCATTGACATTAAGTGTCGGAAGTAGTGACAAAAACTTGAACAAATAATCCAAAGAACGTGGAGACGAATGTGCGTGACTGACTTTGGCAGGGAGTTGGGCAAACCTTATAAAGCCTAGACTCCATGCATTCGTAATAACGCACAATGGCCACAGAGATCCCAATTTTAGCGGTATAGAAGATGAGAGAACCAACAAGAAGAATGGGCTAAATCTGGTGTTAGAGCTCTAGCACCCATCTTAAAAGGATGATGGAGAAGATAATACTTCAGAGAAAGGGCATAAAGGAAGAAGTTAAAAGACTTACCGGACCAAAGGAAGTATAGCGCTCCGTTGGCCAAGGCTGCCTGGACCGTGCCAGCGGTGACAGCGATAGAGATTATGAGGAAGATTAGGGTGAGTATGAGGTAGCTGACCCATCGAACGCGGGAGTAGGCAGGGCCTACAGAGGTCACCTTTCGGCATTGCGGGCAGCGGGCAGCAATGAGGAAATTGGAGTTTGGGGCGCTGCCTCCAGATAGGCAGTAAATTAGGCGGTCCCCGCAAGTTCGTGTATTTGAGTAAGAGTTTTGCGGCGAAGGGATGGAGAACGGTCGGTGACAGTTGCCGCAAGTAAGACGAATGGCAACGTTACGCTGAGTGAACGTGCCCCCATTAATTGGTACATTTTCCAGATTTGACGGACCGAGAGTATCTGATGAAGCCTGAAAAGACCGAAGAGCAAAAGGGTACACAGTGCACAGATAGCTCACTTTTTGCTAGGTATCTTCCAACTTTTGGGCCTCAATAAGTCCATGATGATAACGGTAAACGCCGATAGTAATGCCTGAACTTAATTGATCGTGGCATCGTATTTACAATGCAGAGGAAGGTAAACAGCAAAGGACTTTTTACGACGCCCAATATGTCCCTGAACAAGGCATACATTTTGAACAACAGTATTCACGAAGACCGTGAAAATGTAACTGATATTAAGATTCTAAGGTGCCTCTTCTTGTACAGATGGGGCTGTGTTCACACGCTCCCTCGATAGGGAAAATCGAACTGCAGCATAACTTCCAATAAGAAGTAAGAGTAAAGTTACCTATGTTCAGTCTTTCCGTAAGACCAGTTCATAATGGAAGGAAGCGCTTACAACGTAAACCTCCAAAATGGTTCCCAACCCGTTCTTAGATTTACGGACAGAATGGAAACTTTGCATAGTAAAATATTCTAAACTTTGCACCAATAGGCGTGTGTCATACACCATAAGCAGAACTAACCTATATAATTTTCAGTAGTACTGTGCAAGCCTTCAGGAAGCGGCATGATTTCTAAATATTACTTTGTTGCCAGATGGCAAATCTGCGCCTAAGATCGATGAACATATGTGCATGCTCCCTACTAACGACGAAGATGCCGGTCCTAAATGCTAACCGCACTAAATCGCAAAATCTATGCCGAAAAGTTACTGAAGGAAGGAATTTTATCTCAAGAGTTCTTGTCAGATTTTTAAAAAAAGATGCATTGATAATCGCAAATATGTATCAATTGTAAATTTCAAAAACAAGCACCTCTCTGAGATCATTAGCTTAATTAATTATTGTGCAATTTTTCGAAACAGGTATCTCACTAAATTCAATCAGGTGCAAAAAATAACACGTACACTGTATACAAAAAATTTCCGTAGATAGACTAAATTCGTTCAAAATTGTGACAGACGAGACGACGGTAGTATTTCATGTAGCCTTTGTTCGCTTCGATGTCCGTGGATGCGGTGAAATTGTGTACCAAACACGTCCATGTCAACGCTATAGATGGTATGCTTCAGGAATTCGATTTTTCTGGAAACTGATTATAACCCCTGTTATATCCATGGTTAAAATAAGGTAATTCCTGTGATCAGTTAATATGTAGCTTATGTTATGGAGACTCAAATAGCTGTGAATATTACTTGCGAGAAGACAGGGCAAGTGAGATTATACGCATAGATCAACGACTCCTGAGGTCCAGCTGAGACCACTGCCAACAAGATTTGGTTTATTAGGGCAAAATTTCAGCGAATTTCCCTCTAATTTAGCAAACTAAGTGAATGGGCAACAAGAAAAACCGGTGCGTGGGTGCCACCCAACTAATAAAGGAACAAGGCAGAACATTCGATAGATGCTTTACCAATGGGTCACGCTGCATACGTCAATGAGTTGTCGAACAATTAAGGTATTCAAGGCAATGTCACCATAATTTAAGCAAGTATAGTCGAAGGGATTCGAACAAAGTTTCTGGTGTACACAACCACTTTGAAAACAGTATTATCAAAATATAAGACGCCTATGCCTACCTCATTGTAAATAACCGTTAAATTTAGAATACTCTTACCCCGGGAAGCGTAATAACGCGCTGACATTGCGGACGGGGACAGCCGACGCGTGTGGTTGAAGCCTTGCAAATCAGCAAGCAGTTGCACGGACAACGGACATATTGTTTGCCCGGAGGAGGCCCTTTGATAGGCTAACACGCATGATAATAAAAATCCACCTTACAGTAGCTTCATTACAGACGGGACATTTAACCACCAACTGTTTTTCCTTATTTCCCAAAGGCACAACAGCGTTGCAAACTTGACAATTAACTGTGGCCTCAAATCCACTTCCCCTTGACTCCGCATGTTCCACAACTGGCCTACTGAGCGGAACTAAACTGAATAATAACGGGAAACGCTCAAACCATGCTCGTTTTGAACGAGAGGAGCCTCTTCGTCCATATGTTCCTGAAGTCTTCAAAATTCCGGCAGAATATGCATTAATTAAAACACTACTGTTATCGTTGTAGCTGGCAAGATCGCAGGCCATTTAGAAAAGGATATCTGAAACTAAGAAATGCCGGGGTATATTAAACCCTAAGAATTTGAAAAAAATTTGCTAATTTTCATACCGGGGAAGAAGATCTACGCAACAATTAAGCAGCGATGGGAACATGGCGACAAAAATGGATGAATTGTTATTGA